GGGCCTAATTCGCATAGGGCGTAACGGGCCTTGGGTTAGCGGGCTGTAAATGGGCTATATCCGAACAGGCCGTTAACAGGCTTTCCATGGGCCGGGCCGCCAGCTTTTCACCAAGTCAAACGGGCCGGCCTTTACACAGGAATGGGCCTCTGTTGGGCCGTGCCACATGTCGACGTATCATAGGCGCCTATCTGACCCACTGACAAGCTGACACGTGTTTCGTCCGGCCAATAAAAATTTTACACGTGGAAATTTCCCATTGGTCGGGGCTGTTAATGGGTTATCGGATCCAAAACCCGACCCGATAGCTTAACGGTGTTCCGTTATGGTGGATGCCACGTGTCGGTCACCCTTGACGAAAGCACTTCTGTGACGCGTGATTTATCGTCATGGAAGTGGACACTTCCGTGATGATAATTTTGGTAATGTCATGGAACACTTCTACGACAGCACAGGTATGACTATCTTGATTCTATCATAAATTTGTCATGGATGTACATGCATGACAAAAAAAGCGACCTACTGTGACAAACACGTATCATCACGGAAGTGTATTTTTTTGTAGTGACTCCCGGTGATGACCATAGTTTGAGGAGTTCATGTATTCACTATGTGTTAATGCTTTGTTCCGGTTCTCTATTAAAAGGAGACCTTAATATCTCTTAGTTTCCAATAGGACCCTGCTGCCACGGGAGGGTAGGACAAAAGATGTCATGCAAGTTCTTTTCCATAAGCACGTATGACTATATACGGAATACATGCCTACATTACATTGATGAATTGGAGCTAGTTCTGTGTCACCCTATGTTATGACTATTACATGATGAATCGCATCCGGCATAATTATCCATCACTGATCCGGTGCCTACGAGTTTTCTATATACTGGTTTACGCTTATTTACTTTCCCGCTGCTACTGTTACAATCACTACAAAATACCAAAAACATTACCTTTGTTGTCTTTACTTTTGTTGCCGCTACCACCACTATCATATTACTTTGCTACTAAACACTTTGCTGCAGATACTAAGTTTCCAGGTGTGGTTGAATTGACAACTCAGCTGCTAATACTTGAGAATATTCTTTGGCTCCCCTTGTGTCGAATCAATAAATTTGGGTTGAATACTCTACCCTCGAAAGCTGTCACGATCCCCTATACTTGTGGGTTATCAGCGTCCTCCATGGCAATGGAGGTGATGGAGAGGATGCGATTGGGGAGAGAGAGACGACAAGGTGGGAAAGGAGAGGGAGTGGAGAGCGAGACGATGTGGCGGGGGGAAATGGTGGGCGATGAGGCCGGAGGTAGTTGCCATCCACATTTATATGATGGGACAGTTTTGGCTTGTTGCCATGGACACGTGCTGCCACACGGCCGCGGGCGACTGCATGCGAAAACGAAACGCATGCCATATACAAATACGTATAGGGCCGGACATACGATCTAACCGGGCCCGTACGGGCCTCCCAGGGCTCCTCGATGGCTATACGCGGGGGCAACAAAGACGATCGTGCGCCTCGTGATGAATCGTTTTTGGTTCATCCTGGCCGTCCTTGTGTTTTTCCCCTCGCGTTCAGCCTGGGGGGAGCACCGGAGCAGAAACGGATAGACAGCGTACGTCGCAGTACGCCCATGCTGGGACATTCTTGCGTCGTAGTACTAGTTTCTATGAGGTCCGAGACGAGAGATCTGGAATTTTCAGAGTCCGATCCGCCTTCCGTCGCGTCGGAGATTGTCGGAGAGAAGTTTGGAGACGCATCGGCATGGACTGGAGTGAAGTAAAGTGGCTATGTTTTGTCAGGGATCGACAGAGACACATATTTGTGGGGTCAGGATGGACCAACATGAACCAAATTCGACGTAATGGACGCATCCAAGTGTCATCATATCCGTCTCACATATGGAATGGATATTTGAGGGTGCGGGGCAACCTGGACGTATGGGTCAGTTTAAGACGCAAATGATATATGTCACTCTTTGTGAGCGTTATGGCGCCGATTGGCCTGGCCCACCAAGCGGAAGGATACCCAACATTTTGGGGAAGCTTCCGGATGTTTCTTTTCTTCCCTATGTTTTTTTCTTTTTTCCTTTCTTTCTCTTTCTTTTAAACTCATCACTATTTTTTACTGGTTTTTTGTTTCCTTTTCAGGTTTTCATCCTTTTGGTTTTTCTGTTTCTTTTTTCTTCTCAGTATTTAAATTTCATAAAAAATTAAAATGTTCAAAATTTAGAAAATTATTAGCATTTTTTGAAATGTTCACATTTTTAAAAATGTATTTGTGTTTTCTCAAAACATGTTTGGAATTTATTTAATTTTCACAATTTCAAGAAATGTTCACAAATTTTAAAAAAGACTTAACATTTTTAAAACAAAAATTGGGATGTCAAAAATTGCTCGTGAATTTCAAAAAATGTTCACCGTATATCAAAAAACGTGTAACTGAAAATTGTTCACCGTATACTAGAAAATAATTCAGTGCATACAATTAGAATACCCATCGTATATTAAAAAATTGTTCACTGTGTATTTTGTAAAAGACATCACTGTATATTTAAAAATGTTCATTACATATGTATGATGTTCATCATATACTAAATAATTGTTGAGTATGTCCTTGGTAAAAGTGCTCACCATATTTGAAAATTTGTTCTATTATCCAAAAAATAGAATTTGAATTTGAGGGTTTTTTGAATTCAAAGTTTTTGTTTAGGATTCCAAAAAATGTTCCTATTTACCAAATTTGGTCTTATTTTCAGAAAATGTTTGAGGAATTTCATGTAATTGTCACATTTCCAAACATATTCGGGTATTTTTATAGAATTTTCTCGTTTCCAGAAATGATCAGAATTGAATTTGTGGCCATTAAGAAAACATTTTTTGAGACTAAAGAAAGAAAAACAAACACGCTAGTTGGTGCTTACTCACTCGTGCCACAACGCTTGTTTGCAGGCGCTTGCTCCCTCGGATGGGCCAGGCCTGTTTAAGATGGCGCGCAAGCGACACATGTGCTACCGCTCGCAAGCGATGTATAGAAACACCCGGTTTAAGGTGTCCGGTTAGGTGACAAAAAAAGCCAGACTGTGATCAGGGAGGCTGCCCGAACATTTGATAATGATATGAGAACTCCGGTTACAGATGCTTCAAGTAGTCCCAAACACCTCAAGCCGCGAACCACTCACATACAAACGGGACAATGTGCGCCTCCCAAGGCCTCGATGCACCCCGAGCGTGCATTTCCTGGGTGTTGGCCCGGAACAGAGGATACACACAGCTAAACCCACCAAGACCCATCTAGAGAGGTAGACCGAACAAGCAATGGATCCAACATCGGCAAAGTCGCCACCAAGGACACCGCAAGCGGACAAGATAGCGCCTTCGTGAAGGAGAATGATGCCGAGACGCCGTCTCCATCCGATCCGGAGAACCGTACCTAGGGTTCCGCTGAGCTCGAAGAGGGGCATCGATGGAGTCCATGGCCACACCTTCAATAAGAGAAAACAACACTCGTGAGTGACGCCGCTGCCGGCACCGGCTAGCTAAGCAAGGATTTCTCCTTGGACTGAGTCTAAGCAATCCCATGGCCACCGAATATGGACTCTATGATGAGGAAGTCAAACATCGGCCGAAACTGCCACGTCAAGAAGAGAGTTGGTGGGGCTGCACCTGTCGCCGGAGGTGGCACTGAGCGCCATCGGACACACGAGCATTGGATCTAGCCCAAGGTGAGGCGTGGAGGTATACGGCGTTGGGGACGCGACGAGGCGGAGAGAAACCTGCACAAGGCAATCATTGGCAACCGGCAACACCGACAAGCTAGGAACCGGAGGAACACAGATCCAATCTGATGGGGTCGTAGCAGACAGGACACTGATGGGCAAAGTAAGCTGGAGGAGAATGCATCTACTTGGTCGTTGGGGCCGGAGCTGCGCCGGCAGAGGCCCCGCAAGCCACGGACATCGGAGAATGCAGGCCCGAGGCCATCAGGGACGGAACAGCGCCAACAAACCCGCTGCAGGGTGCCACTCGCCCACCATGCCGCCAAGCCGAAGCTTAGAAAACTTAGGAGATACATTGTGCCTCTCACTAGGAATAGGAACGTCGGCGTATGGCCCTCACCAGGTGTGCAGGCGTATTGCTTCATGGAACTTGGTATTTAAAATAATAACAAAATTCATATTTAAATATTTTTCTAAAAAAATTCTTGTGAAAACTAATATGTGTGCAGTAATGCCTGTGAAAATTTGTTTGAAAATATTGTGATTTGTAGGCTACACGGATAAAAGTCAGCCCAACAACTTTTCTGGCCCATTTGAAATAGATATTGTTTTGTATGCCACATGTGAAAAGTATTACTTCCTCTCTAACTTAATAAACGTCTTATGTTAAGTTACAGAGGTTGCGTAAAATTTTATAAATACATAGTACACATGTGTATGTGTATTCACAATTTTCTTTCTAAATCAAGTCGAACTCGTTGCCGCCACATCCCGGCACCTTCTCCTTCGCGAAGAGCATCGACAGAAGTCCGCTACCCATCTCTGGGAACTTGATCACGTGATAGGTCAACACACTATAGTTTTGCGAGACAAGAGGGAATCAAAGAAGCATGATTAGTACGCGTGTTTCGGTTATCGGATGGAGAGAAGAGGAAAGTGCCCGGCAAGTAAAGGACGAATTACTCATAACGATCGCCCTTTTTCTTTGCTCCAGGGCTCGAGCAGGAGTGTTCGGTGGTTTACCCTAACAGAAAAATGATCGTTATATTATCTACTCCTTTTAACGGTACTTAAAATTCATCTTACTAATCACTACATAAATATGTATATATTTATAAAATAATTCTGAGAAAGAAGTCACGGGCACGTTAGGGGTCACATGTGCGTGTACTACTCCAAGCAACAACCTTTATTCAACTTCTGGTGGTAATAATGTAATACATGGGGTGGTGTAAACATATACGGCATGCTAGTACGCATTACCAACAGACATGGCTATCTACCGCCTAGTGCTTAGTATAGAGCGTGACGTTGGTCCATCGTGACTCCATGCAGCTGGATTGGTCATGGTGCTGCATGTACACCCCAAACTTGAAGTAGTAGGACTCGCTGGGGGTCACGCTGGTGCTGAACTTTCGCTCGCCGTCGACGTACACGGCCACCGTGGACGCGCCGACGTCGTGCATCACGTTGAGGCGGAACCACCGGTCGTAGATGTCGGGCTCGATGGCCGCCCCGCTGTAGAACCGAAGGACGCCGTCGTAGACGTGCAACATCAACACCGTCGAGTGCGCGGCGCCCTCCTCGTTGTGGATCTGCATCACCGACACGCCGGAGGTCCCCGACGGCACGTAGCCATAGCCCTCGAATTGCCACACCCCCGACGAGTAGTCGTGGCCCTGGAAGCGCATAGATCATATATTATGTGACTCCATGGCAGGAGGAATCTCAACAATGTGCTGCTATGTACTTACCCGGAGCTTGACTTCAGAGCGCGGGTTGGTGTGGGTGACGGTGTTGAAGGGCTTGTCATTTCGGTGCACCCAGAACGTCCGCACACCGTTGCGGTACTGGAACCGCTGGCTCTCCGGCACGTTGTACGGGCTCTGCACCTGGAAATCGCCGTCGGCGAGCTGCACCTTCTGGAACCCGGCGGTGGGGTTCCCGCTGCCACCGGCGGCCGCGAACGTGCCGCCCATGGCCACGAGAAGCAGTAGGAGATGAAGCCATGGACTACTCGAGAGAGAAGCCATTTTGCAACCTGTGAGCGAGGATGTGTACGTACGTAGCTGGTGTCCACAATCAGCTGTTAACTGATCTCTAGCTAGCTAGTAGTAAGCTGTCTTGGTGCAGATCGATATGGGAGAAGATCGAGCTTAAATAGCCATCGGCCAGCCAGTTTGAGGCGTGTGGATGCATCACGGGAGAAGCACGCGTTCACTTTGTCTGACGTGCATCGTGGTGCACGGTATAGGCGGCCCAAGCACGTACGTACGTAGTTGCGCAGCGGTGCGATTGGATATGCATGCAATCGTTTTCCTCCGCGCGTGCTTACTTGGACCTGTGGTTTCATATTCAGAGAACAAGTCTGGAAGAGGGCACCCTGCTTGAAACGTCACGAACAGGGTTCATGCCCGATAGACAGGAGCCTTGCTCCGGTTCACCCCCCTAACTCAATTTCCTAGGGGTATTCTTGACCCCCGTCATATATTTTTTTCTCCGGCCTGCCGCTGCCCATATCCAAGTCCCGTATAACCCGTATAACTCATACGTCTGTATACGGTGACATCTCGAAAAAAAGATGACACGACCCCACGACCAGGTATGACCTGCCGACGGCCGATACATCAATCACGCAGCTCCATCATTCACGCAGCTCTTCCATCATTCTGTTGAGGTTCTGTAGAAATATCGGCGGCAGTGATCTCGTCCGAGAGCGCGCGCGGCACCGTCGTGAACCTCCAGCGCTCGCAGGCACCGCATCCCGTTTCCCCATATTTGTCTCGCTCGCGGCAGCATCCTGCCGCCGTTATCGTCGTAGTGGTTAACCTAGCAGGGCGGGTAACCTAGCTTTCCGGCGGTCCAGGTCATCGCACATCTTGTTCTGGTAGTGCTACTCGTCGTGATATACACAGTGATCACGCGGGCTAATGTGGGTTTCTTCTTTCTAGGGTTAACTTAGCGTCGGTTGCCGTCGGTTGTGTGCACGACGGCTCCGTTATTTGATGCGGCGGCTTACTGTAACGCCCCGAGACCGTTGCGCCAGGTGTCTTCCAGTTATTCGTTGTTGTTGCCTTGTCAATTGTTTGCGTGTCATGCATTTCATATCATGTCAGCATGTGCATCGCATTTGCATACATGTTCGTCTCATGCATCCGACCATTTTCCCCGTTGTCTGTTTTGCATTCCGACACTCTTATGTCCTCCGGCGCCCCCTTTTGTCTTTTTTGTGAGCGGGTGTTAAATTTTCTCGGAATGGACCGAGATTTGCCAAGTGGCCTTGGTACGCCACCGATAGACCACCTGTCAAGTTTTGTACCATTTGGAGTCCGTTTGATACTCCAACGGTTAACCGAGGAACCGTAAAGGCCTCGTGTGTGTTGCAGCCCAACACCCCTTCAAAGTGGCCCAAAACCCATCCAAAACCCCTCCATCCTCTCGCCCGTTCGATCACGATCGCATGGCCGAAAACCAAACCTCATTTGGACTCTCCTAGCTCCCTCTACCTATAAAAACATCTTCCCCCCCGAAATCCCGGATGAAACCCTAGATCTTTCCCCTCTCGCCCGCCGGACATGTCCGTCCCGGACCGGACGTAACCGCGCCGCCGCTCCCAGCCTCTCAGCGCCTGCCACGTGGCCTCCGCCACCACGCCCCGCCGCCCGGCCCGCGG